GGCGGGTTCTCCTCCGCCAGCAACGACAAGGACGACAACAACAACAGGAGCAGCGCCGACCCCGAAGCGCAGAAGAAGAAGCACAGGCGCGGCGGCGGCGGCAAGCGCGCGCAGAAGCAGGCGCAGCCCGTGCCCAATGGGCACGCGCAGTAGGACGCCTCAGCGGGCAAGGTCGCAGGGTCACGCCCCTTGCCACGGCCGCGAAAACGCGATGTTTATACTCCGATTTAAAACATGGAGGTATTTGAAGTTACGAGTGGAGAGAAGAGGGGAACTTGTCATCCAATCGGGAGGTCCAATAAAAAGTTTAAGCCGTAATGGATCTCCCGATTGGATGGCAGTGTCCACCCCGTCCAACTCACTGACCGTGAAATGTCACTGTTTTAAATCGGAGTAAAACATTCCGATTAAAACAGTGTGTCCCTTCAAAGGTCGCGACCCTCCAAGAGAGAGGCACTGCCATCCAATCGCCGAGCCTTCTTAACGACTTAGGGAGTTGGGGTAATGAAGCTCCGATTGAATGTCAAGTGTCCCCTTCTTTTTATCTATTATTCGAGATTGACTTCATGACCTTGAAAGGTCGCTCTACTGTAATTGATTTATACACGACCTGCACCAACGGGAAGGCGTTCTTCATTGCGACCAAAGACTAGAGATAGGAGATGCTCTATCGCTCTGATATCGAGGTAGTTGCCAACCGTGAGTCTCGTTGCATCGATGGCTCATTGTAATCTTCCCCTCCGGGCATTTGACCCACCTCGCCACAAGGAACTGCGGTGACAAGGTTCGGGAACTTACTTGTGAGATACGATTAGAAATATAAATTAAGTTACGTTTTTTTTGTATTTATTAACTTTGTTACCTGTATTTTACTGTACTCATACATATACTCTTTTTCACAAGTTAAACTATTTCAAAATGTTTGACGAACAAGCTGCTGTAGGATCCAATATCAGGGAAACCTGTATTCTTTTACCACTGATATTTTGTACTTCGATTTAAATGAATTTGACGTACAATCAGTTCGGCGCGTTTATCCATTCGCGCGCTTCCTTATGTCTTAATTTTTGGTATTGAAGCTCCCAATCGGATTAACAGCATCCAGCTGATCGTTACGTCAGAAGTCACCGCATTTAAATCGGAGGATAGTTGACTTTCTCTGCTCCAGATGCGCTTGATAAGCTCGTGGTGTGCTTCTTCCAGACTTGTAATCACAAGAAAAACATTCTAATCAACTTATTTTCAAGGAATTATTTACATTTATTAAAAGTCAGTATGTACCGTCTAGTTAACCGAATGATGAACATAAAAGCGTTCCAGCCTCTTAAGACACCGAAACTTTGGGCGCATCTGCAAGACTCCAAGCGCTATTGTAAATTTGGGTAGGTCGTTAGCGGCACTTGCGAATAGCGAGTGTACACCAAGTGTACAGCTGAATGTACTGCAATTCTGACGGTCGGCTGGCGGGCTAATGTTTTGACCTAGGTCTAGCCGGACTGAGTTCGACCGCCATCGCAGTGCCTTGCATGATACACGTCGGTCGTAATTGACACCCCGTCAATTTAGGTCTTTGAGCTTCTCATCGTTTATTTCTTAATTTTTTTTTCTTCGGAAATACTTGGAAGTATGCGATGCACTACGACTCATTTCAAGCACAACCTTGTTCAATTATGGAAAAGAATGATTAAATAAGCGTTTTTTAAACAATGATATAAGAAAAATTGTTCACCCAATTGAGGAGACGAGTGCGGTGTTTTTCTTTTCGGCTGAAATGACTTATCTGGATAATGTGGATTCGGTATCAAAATCGAATATTTGAAACCTCGATTTCGTGGTCAATGTAAGTGAAATCAACAATAAAAATACCATCTCCTATCTCTAGTATTCGTGATACATTGTCGATTAAGTTTTTTCTTGTACAAAATAATCGACTCCAACTCAAACTGTTGTTCTGGAGGGCTGACCTGCTGATCGTCTTAAAGTTGTGATAGGCGATAACTGCAAAAATGCTCTGCTTGTCGTCTGTTTGAATTACATACAACTTATTTTAAGCGCATAATGGAAAACGAGGCTTTGAACGAATTCAGTCAAACATTTATTGCCTACAATTGGGAAACGAATTATAAATCAAAAGTGACAAATAATGTAAAAATGTAAATTAATAAAAATCGAAGCACAATAAAACCTAATTAATTTCTCATCATTTATTCTGTTTGAGAAACATTTTTATATTTCGATTGCCTTTTATTGTTTTTTTCTTGTTCTTTCAGCATATCATTTCTATATTTCTTCCTACTATCTCCATAATCATTCACAATTTCTATTCCTATTCTTGTAACGTCATTCATTCAACTTTCGTTGTTGCCATCGTCTAAAGATCGGTACAAGGATGACAAGAAGACTTGGCTTAATAACCACTTCGTATGAATGTTTCATAATAACAATTTAGATGTTGAAATTGAAGAAAAAGAGTTTCAATGCGTTGTTGAATTTCAAACAGGCAAGCGCGATTTAAAATTAACAAATATGCAAATAGTTGATGTTTAGGTAGCAAAATATTCTTATTTTGAATAAATTAATTGATATTACAAAAAAGTGGTCTTGGGGGAAGCATGACCCCTACGTACTCCCCTTTGATCCACCACTTAATCGTATAAAATCTGCGAACAATGATGTGTTGTAATGTTTTCTAATTTTATTGGTTCCAAATTATGCCCTGCTTGCTCCACTAGTTCAATTCACGCGGGTTCGATTCGTAAGTTTACTTACGCCGCCGCCACTGCAATTAGTTGACGTGCTATTCGTACGAATGAGCAAGTTTTTCTGGGAATTCCCTTTGTTTAATATCTACTATTAAAAAATTGCACGTAATTATCAATAATCAGTTTTTCAATCAACACTTTGTTTTTCATTTCAATTACTTTATATAATTCAATTTGAGCTCGTAACTCTTTTAAATCAGTAATTATCCCTATTTAATATTTTCTAAAATTATTGGGGAAAAAAAACGTTTTTTAAATATTCGTTATATGTCACCGATCTTTGTTCGCTCTTCATCTTCCCGGGCGGAAGTCGCCACGAAGATCTTTCTTCGCATTTTGTTCGCTCCAATGTCCTAATATGACTACCACACGTCAAACGCTGGCCATATGGGACCTTGCTCCTCACTATTCCCCATAGCTAATAATAATCTTACTTGTTTAACAGACAAAAATTCCACCATTAATAATCATTCAATTCTTTTAGACTCGACCGAAGCATATCCATCAGTCTTCCCCATTGCCCCCTTCCTTCTCTCATGTCATCTTATTTATTTTACCACCCCGGCGTCCCCATGGATATATAATGATGATACACATATTATTCATCAATCAATTATATATGGAAAATAGTATGTGTGATAGGTCTTCCGGGTCCAAGAAAACGTGCAGCCTCATTTAAACTCATTAAAAAATGAAAACAATATGACATCCATTTATTTGAAATGTTTCTTCGTACTTTTTCGTTTGATTCTTTAGAGAATTAAGGAACTCCCGAGAAATTCTATAGCCAAAGAAAAGTATTAAACTCACGAAAAAAAAGTATTACTAAGTAAGTTCTGAAGATCCTCTATGAATGTATTAGATCAACATTTATGGTGGGATCTGTTTGGAGCAACTTGAACCGGAATTTAGAATAGAAAGTTGCAAAAATTTCTCCTTTTGTATAACAAATTATTATAAAAGTGATGTAGGAAACAAATGAACTAGTTACTACATAAATTTAAAAAAATGACTTCTTTTAGACAGACCCTAGTAAAAGTAAGGTGACCAATCGTCCTCCTTTAGGGAGTCCTTCTTTTGTAGGTTATATCCTTCCTCGAAAAGTATCCTGGCTGTCCTCCTTTTCCATATTTTAAAACTAGTATGTTAATCTTTGCATTCAGAGATGCCACGCCAAAATGTTACACGTCTTGTGGCGGTTCAGTCCAGAAAGATGCGATTAGTGTTGCTAGATCGGCGGAATTCTCGCCCTTTTCTGTAGTTTCAACTTCAGTATTTCAGATTTTTAGACATGTTAGTTGAATGTTGATTCTCTAACTGCAGCACTTTCCGTGAAATTCAAAATGAAGGATATTTCTTGTTCTGAAATTTTCAGTATATTATTAGAAAATGATACATTATCAAAAAATATTCATTCAATGGGAAAATGCTCGTTTAATTAAATAAGCAACAGGGACGTAAGCATAATCAGTGTATTTTTGTTTGAATTAATAAAACATTTAAATAATTTACGTTGTACTTTTTTCTCAGTTTTTTCGTCAAACTTTTCATCGCTAAAAAATTGGTCACCTTAGTAAAAAGGATTCCTTTAGGGCATGCATCACGTGTGGAAATTCAATTTTTGGCACTTGTGCTAAAAGTGAGACGATGCTCACGTGTATTGATGAATCTGTGAATCCAACAAAGAAATCAAAATACTTTAATCTGACCGCATCAGTTATTACTGACCTTAATGTATCATTAAGTGATTTGTGTACTTGAATTAAAATAAAAAGAAAAGTCAATAAGGCTGTCTAAAATCTAGTGTATAACACAGTGGTAACAAATTATTTTATTTATTGAGGATTGTCCCACTCGACGTTGTGTCGCAACCTTTCATATTCGCAAAATAAAATGTCGCTTTTACCACTTGTATCATACTCAACTATTTCACGACTTTTCTGCTTTTCCTCATTTTAACTAGTTTCAAAGCTGTGCATTTTCAATTGATTTACGCGCTATTAGTTTAAAGCCAGGGTGTTGTTACGCGATACCAATCTTACAATCTTTTAAAAAATCGAAGGCTTGTAAAATCAGTGATCAGTTACTAGAATGATGGTTTGAAAAGTCCAAAACTGCACTGTGAATGGGCGAATTTGAAAGTTTTCTTGCATTCGAACAGTCCAAATGACTGCAGGAATGAAATTGTTAATGACAGAAATGAGCATGTAAATGGTGTGCCTGATTTGAATCAATTTTACCAGCAGTCTTTTGTTAGGAAACCCATGTGTTTGAGAGGCGTTGAAAGGTTAGAAATGGCGAATGAAAATTGAAACACAATAGTTAAATTTTAGAGAAATGTAACGAGAAAGAGCAAAGGACATGCAAGCAGGTGATTGGTATAACGGAGTACAGACAATGACTAATCCTGCGAATAATGCGACGCCGTTGAGGGTATATCTTTTTTGAAGATTTTCGAATTATTTTTACTGTTTGTAACACGCTTTAGATTCCGAATAATTTTAATATGCTGTAAAGGATCTCTAATTGAACAAATCAGAAAGGAAAAAAACTCTTGAATACATTTAATGATATTTTTTACCCAAACAATTTTATTTTAGGTGTTGTGCATTCATGGTTATCGCCAGAATGGTGAAATCTTCAGACAAAAAACTGGTTCTTTGAGAAAACTGTTAAAGCTTCATGTGGATTTTGTTTATGTGACAGCTCCCAATGAAATAAGTAGTGATGATGAGGCTTGTGAACCAAAAGAGGCTGGTGAACAAGGTTAGTGATACAAGTTCTATTTCTTCAGTGTTAATCCATTTGTGGGAAATAAATTATATTTCCTTTGGATGATTATATCGTAGAAGAGTTTAAATTTAGCATATTTATGATAAAAATATGAACCTCATTATATAGTGCTGAGGTATAAATATTGCAGGTATCTGTCTTCACAAACACCTTTTACATGCTGTGGGATAGTTCATAAACTGAATCTAATTTATATTTGGTGACTACTTAAACTTACGGCAGGGCAGTTGTCAACTGTTTTGGAGTAATGTTATTTATTTTCTTCAGGTTCTTTTGGCCAGAGAGGGTGGTGGTTTACCAATGAAAATAATACATTTGAGTCCAAAAAACTAACAGATATGTGTGTTGGTTTAGAAAAAAGTGTTGCTGTTATTGACACTGCCTTTAAAGAACAAGGCCCCTTTGATGGAATTTTGGGGTTCAGTCAGGGAGCTTCATTTGTGAGTCTACTGTGTGGGATGTACAAGAAAGAAAGTAAGTAAGAGTTTAAATACCTTCGAAAATACTTTTTTGTCAACACTAATATTGTTCTTTATTCTATTTTTTTAATGGGTTAAAGTAAAGAACACAGTATGCTTTTGGAGAAGTGTGGTGGCGGAAAGGGAGTGGGGCAGGGTAAGGGGAGTGGAAACCTCATTCAGCCCTCCCTTAAATTACGCATAGGGCTCTGAAAGAAATGAGTAAAACTTACCAATAAATGACTTTCACATGTCATAAAGATAGAAGACTCCCTCAAGGAATGATGAAAACTCCATGTTTGACCCCATCTTTACACTTATGAGTATAAAAAGTGGCCTCATTCTTACTGTACTTCTACTCGAAAGGATCACACAACTGCTTTCACTTGGCCAACCTCATCAGGCACTTACACACAAGATATGTAAGTCCACGTGCAGCTATCAAACCATGTTCTTGTGCCCACTCAATCAAAGCCAGTCACTCCTTTATTAAAATAAAAATCTTTATTCTTACCATCGTAGCACAACCACTCAACACTCAAAAACTAATCACAAAGAATCAGAAGAGCGCATGAAATGTAACTGTATGACCGCAATGTAGCTAACCACTTCAACAGCTACTTTGATACTCAAAGGGTACCAGCACAGGGCACCACCACGATTGCAGTACCATTTGATAATGGAGCTCGACAAGATACTATGATGAAATTACCTCCCCTAACTTATGACATCACATTTGTGACCAGTTATGGACCATTAAAGTTATTTAGATTGCACATGTTTTGCTTATTATAAGTATATACTAAGTTACATTGCAGATCTCCCCCAGAGCAGCGTGAAGTGCTGGTTTGTACGATTTTCTTAAGTTGTACCGTGTTCTTTTCTTTAGCCTGGAATTGTACTTGCGATTTTAATTCCTTATTTCCTGTGCTGTCATATGAACTGTTTATTATCTGTGAACTTAATGGTTATTAAGTGTTTTGATTTGTATGAAAGCATTAATTCTTAAAACAAATTCATTTAGTAAACTATAATTCTTAAGGGACATAGAAAGCCAGAACAAGATTTTTTTTAGGTTATATCTTCATCTTTTCTTAAGCGACATATTATTTCAGTTGAGTTTTTCCTAACATGTGTGAAATTCACATGCAGTTTGATTCCTTTGGTAGAAGCATCTTTGTGCCCAGACAACTGATTTAAGAGAGATTTTATGTTACAGTCCTACCTGACATACAAAAATATCCTAGCAAAGAATGTAATCAAAAGAATAAAGGAAATTACTTTCATTGTTTCTTTTGTGAAAATAACATATGTGAAAGAATGTCAAAATTAGTCATCTGACTTGGTTGACTAACAATCAGATTTGTGCTACTTTAACTTGAAGATATTTAAATTTATTTGTTCTTTTGTTTTTTCTTCCATTATGATTGTAATAATGCTAATAGTTTTAGAATAATAACTATTAGAGTGTAATGAAGTGAATTCCCAATATTGAACAAAATAAGATCTGTAAAAGTGCATAAAAATAATTAATTTTTGAATTATTTGCGCATGAAAATTTTAGGCTAAATATTATTGTTATAAATCAACCTATGTGCCTTATTTATTCTAAATTAAAGTATCAAATGTCAACATTCAGTTTTTCAGCATAAAATAAAATTTGCCATTATGATCGCTGGATTCAAGTCGAGATGCAGTCTGCATGATATGTACTATGATTCAATTATAAATATTCCTACTCTTCACATTTTTGGTGAAACAGATCAAGTTATTCCTCAAGGTATGAAGTGGATGAAAGTTTAGCAAAATTCACTTCTTATTAAATAATGTTAGTCTGTTCAATTATTTTGAAAACAACGAAAACTTTCATAATAATCTATGAAATTATTGCAGAAATGAGTCAAGATTTACTACAGTATTTTGAAGATCCTGTGATTATTACGCATCCTGGAGGACACTATGTTCCAGCCACCAAAAGTCAGAAACAATCATTTTTGGACTTCATTAATTCTGTTCGTAGTTAACATTATGTTAACACAGTTAACATAACTATAAAATGGTAATTCTTCCATTTAAGAGATTGTTTTATTTGAAAAGGAACTTAATGGATTTAAATTATAGCTCAATAATTTGTTTCCCTGAAAAGTCAAATCTTACTCATTGGAGAGGGAATATTTTTATTTACTGTTGACTTATGTCTGTCAAACATTTCCTTCAAATACTGGAGAAAGTTAGTTGCAGTCATTGTAAAAATCAAGGTATATTGTAAGGCATTCCACTATTGAAAGTAACTGGATGAAAATCATATTGCAGCAATTTAAGTGGTAATTTTTGTTGTATGTCAAGTGTTCACTTTGTTGAACCTTGGTGACTAACTATCTTTTAATCTAATGTTGATTTCACATAATATTTTATGATTATGAATTTGCACTTTTGTTTTTTAGCATTACTTAATGTTGTGTTATTTTCATGTTTGAATTTAAAAATATCAAACTAGTTTTTTTTTATGAATAGTAATTTTTCAAAACCTTAATGAAGCTGCAAATCCAGTGATACTTATTAACTGAACATTAGTTATAAACATTTGTACTTCAAAGGATTGCAGGTGAGTGGGCTTGTGGTATAATACCTTCCGTTGTCAAAAATTCCTATAATAATTAAAATGATTCATGTTTTTATTCCAACTTTAAAATTTACTTTAGCAGTTAGATCTAAAGAAACAATGTTTTCTTTGTAATCTTGATTCCACATGGCCACCTGTTATGATGACTCAGAATTTGTTTTACTAGTGATGCTCTCTCATTGAAATGCTTTTCTGAAATCCCATTTGAATCTTGAAATGGCATGTAAAAATGTATTTTAATTTTTTGTTCTTCATGCTTGAATAATTGCCAGTTCTGAGTAGGGTATATCAAATTCAGAGTTCTGTCCCCAAAAGGACAGTCACAATCAGACGCCACAGTCAAAAGTGGGATGGGATTGCTTGTGAACAAACAAAGCTTGTTGACATCAATGAAAAAAAATAAAAAAATCTTCTCTGGTATCATCTTTCTTTTTCATATAGATTTTTGACCCTACCTGACCCTGGAGCCTATTCTACAGAAAGAAAAATAGTGGTACCTCGTGGCACAGAGCGAAGGCGCTTGCCTTTCACCAAGAAGATCCGGGTTAAATTCCTGCTGATTCCCAGACAATTTCATGTAAAATTTGTTCCAACAAAACGAGTTTGCCTGTTTTACAGGGGTTAGTCCAACCTCTGTGAAGCATTCTAAATGCTATCCTATCCTAAGTCCTTCCCAATTCTGGTCTCTGCGTAGTGATACAGGAGTGCGTGGAAAGTGGCACGTACTTGTAGATGCTATTTGGCAGTCCTCTTGACGTCTGTGACGAGACTGGGCACTTGACAAATATAATAAATGTTAACGGAGGATTTGTTCATAGCTTGTTCATGCTCAGTGCTTGTTGTGGGCTTGAAGATGTGTTGCATAAATGTAGATGCCACAACTTAAATAATAAAAAATAATAGTGATAATAATAATAAAAAAGACTAAAGATCTAACGCCAGGAGAAAAGTAAAATAATGACAAAAAAAGGCATAATGAAAAAATGAATACTAAAGCAATGTCTAAAGAACTATTTAAATGTTAACGTTATTGTAAACGTTAACATTATTGTAAAAAATCATAAAATTGTAACAATAATAAAAGCCAGTTTGCCAAACTTCCTGGCTCAAGTTACATCCTTTGTTTCGGTTAGAGTAGAAATGCGGCCAGCAGTTATATAGTGTTTTAATCAATCACAAAACATGTATTGAGTAACATAAAGCAGTTGCTGAGAGAGCTAAAACTTTTTAATTAATTTTTGTAATTAATTCCTTCTTATAAACATTCTGTAATGTTTTGAGAGAATGAAAATATATTCGAAAATGAAATATTTTATCATGAATTCCTTTGAAAATGTTCAGGGGGAGGGAGTCCCATCCCTCTGCGCACACCAATGTGTATTTCGATGAAACCATGAAGAGTAGCGAAGCGACCCCTATCCCCCAACCTCACTGATTGTCGTACTGAAATTACGCAAGAGTTCGGAGATTCGCGTTTGATATAGCATTAAAATAAATTTGTACATCTCGGCAGACGCATCATGGTGCAAACGCTGTACTCGTTTCATTATGTTTAAATCATTTTTTTTTTTCATTAATAACTATTATCGCGAGCTTGAGGATAAACTCTCCACTCAAACGTTCAGACATCCACTTGCAAATTCATAAAATAATGTCTTCGTGTTCCATATTCTCTATCCATTTGAGAATGTTTACGTAAGTTGAAAAAGAATAAATCGTTTCCTGATGTTATAGGGACGAAAAAGAAACGACAATTTTAGAAATATTTGAGCGATGATGTACCTAATGTTTCATTTTGAAATTCCCGCCCTTGCATGTCTTCCACGCCCATTGCGCGGTCGTCACTTGTTACGTGATGAATACTCGATTGCGGTATCATCATTTGGAATCCATAAGTTTATTGATGTAGACATATTAGTTCGTTTTTTCTCGCGAAGGTTGTTCCAAATTTCCAGGTATGTACTGTTTTAATGTTTGTGATCGTATTCTATTTAGAAATATGAAACTTTATATTAAAATCATAACCTCACTTCTACCTCAGTGTTTACTGTACATTACTTGGAAGGGGTGGTAAACATACAAAGCTATAAGAATTGTTTTGCCTTGACATTGAAGGATAATTAATTGGTTTGTTACCTTTAACTTACTGTTCAGTGAATGAACAGAAATTAGTTTACTTGGAGCAGTGAGGCTTAATTATATTTTGATATTTTACATGTGTCTTTTCTGTATTATTATTTTACATGTTTTGAAAATTTATTTTTCAGGTAGTGAATCCATAAAGAATGGCTGAAGTCGTGGGAGTAGCTGTTGGCTTCTTAGTTGGTGTTTTTGTCTTAATTAATTTTTCCCTTCATAAATTGGAAGAAGGTCATGTTGGTGTATATTACAGGGTAAGGACTCTATATTTTTAAATCTTTGTGTAAATTAACATTAATGTATATTTTTTTCAAGAGAAATACTGTAAAAGTAAATGAAGGTGGGGTTTTTATCTATTTTTTATTGAACTACTAACAATCAGTGTGGAGTATAATCTTTATTTTTTTGAAAAAAATATTGAAAAATATTTTATTTAAATTTTAAATAAAAAATAAGGATCAAATATTTGAAAGTCCACTTTTAAACTGTTAATAGTTCACGTTTGTTAATTTTTTACATTTTATAAGTATTGTTTATAATAATTTGTCAGGCATTGTATTTATTAAATTATAATAATTATTGTTGCATTATAATATGAATGATTTTGTATTTATTTTCATTCTATTGATTTACAAGAAATGTGAAAATTCACACAGAATATAACAAGTTTTTCAATCTTAAACACAATGTTCCCAAGTTAACAAAGTATTTGTAGTTCAGTTCTGTAAATAAAGGCTAAGAAAACTAAACTAAGTTCCTGACACTAACTTAAAAGTTTAAATGAGATTTTTATATCAGTATGCCAGTAATATTTCAGAAGAAACAATGAATTCAAGTGGGTGAAAAAAGGACCCAGTATGGAATAACTTCGTAGAAATGAAGACATGTAAATGGATTAAAGCAAAATGTTGTGAACGGATATAATATGTTTAAAATAACATTAAATATTTTTTTTTTTATTTCAAGCCAAATGCATCTCTAAAAATAGCTTCAAAATTGAAATATATATATTTGAAATTTTTGGTATAAATTTAAACTTGCATTGAAAATTATTTAAAATAAAATTCAAATAAATTTACTTCATTTTAGAAGAAATGTTTTAGAATTTTAGAGCAAAATAAATTAATTATTTTTATCGAGAATTAAAAATATCTTTTTGATTTAATTCAACATTAAAAATTAAAATTATTTAATTTAAATCAATATTGAAAATGAATAATATTTTATTTAAATCATGCCAATGCTTGTAACAATATTACTATAGAGTAAAATGTTACCAATTCAGGGAGGAGCTTTACTCAGCAACGTGAGTCAACCTGGCTTCCATATGATGATACCTTTCATCACTTCCTATCGAGCTGTGCAGGTGAGTGGACCTTCTTAAACCGTGTCCTCAACCCAATATTATTACCAGCAATATTATTACCAGCATGCCCTGAAGTGGCATAATAAAAGAATTTCCATATTCTAAAGTTGGAGTAGAGAATCTTGAAATTTAGAAAATTTGTATAAATTTGAAGCAAATGTGGTATGTGTTGGAACTTCTGTACAAGAAAACTCTTATTATCACTATTAGGAAATTTTTATTTTGAAAAGGCATTTGCAACAAACTATGAGCCAATTCAGAAAAATTATGAAAGTTTGAAAAGTGGGGGAAGGCTGGCGTTAGTTACTCCTGGTAAATTTAATAAAGAACTACTGAGAGAAACCCATAAAATAATAAATAGAAATAGTTTTAATAACATGAATTCCTAAATGGAAAACCTAGTTTTTAAACAGACCTTAACTTTAAAGAATACTCAAAAAATGTCTGATTGATATGAAAGAAACTGATAATATCCACACAACTTTTCTTGACCGATGGTATGGAGAAATATGAACGAAATGTGTGTCAAAGTTTCGAAATTGCCCACTGGATTTTTTGAAGCAACACCAATCTCTGAAAAATCAGTGAAGCCTTTGCAACTTTCGCAATAATTTGCTTTCTAACAGCTTCTTTCTGTTGAAGGAATCTGGACCTGCTTTTGGCCATTTCTTTAGATTGTCTTCTTTTTCTCCACTTCAAATATAGTCTATAACCTGTTCGCTTCTAAAAATTCCATTCTTTTTAGGGCGTTCTACCCGAATCTCTTCTGCCTTGAAGGCCTATACTTAAACACCTTGCTTTGAATGCGAGTCTCTTCCATTCTTTCCACATGTTGCTAACCATTCCTCTCATGCTAACATTGCTACCTTGTCATTGAATTGCTTGGACATTCAATTCTTTTCAAATTTCCTCATTTATTGAGTTTATCTTAGTCTGTACATTATTTTACAGGATCTCAAGAATTCATTTCAGCAAGACTGTAACAACCTTCTTATCTTTCGTCCCTCACAGTCCAGCATTACACGTCCGAACAACAGAAACAGGACAGCCATTACTTTGTATCATCCTCATTAGAAGTATCTCTGCATGTTTTTATCATAAGAGTTCGCCGAATATTTCCGCATATATTCGGCGTATTTTAATTTTTTCATTTATATCCATTTCTGTGCAGTAATGTTATTGTAGCCCAAATATTTAAAATGGGTTACTTGTTCCAGCACCGCTATTTTCAAAATATTTTGGTGCATATAGGATGCTTTCCCAACAATGCCATCATTTTGCGTCTTCATTTTTGAAGATATTTAGGATTATGTCCTGCAAGTTTGTTAATTGATGGATAGACCTCTGTAAAAGCCTTTCTGACTTTCTTGGATTTAAAATTTTGATCAGCAGAAATAGGGAGTGTATTTAAGTTAACACTTCCATTTCTAAGCTTAATTCCGTCGGCTTGATTTGTTCTTCCGTTCTCGAATGACGTCATCCAAGTATAATGTTTAAACAGTGTGCGGAGAGCTGCATCCTGGCAAACTCTTTGATTGTTTTTATTCTTTTGAATTATTTTTCTTCTAGTTCTAAAATAACAGAGTATTCTGATACAGAGATTTAATGTTTATTGATTGAGTGGGTGGATAGCCTCTTCTTCCATAATTTCCATAAAGTGGACTTCAATTGTTATCAAAAACCTTTTCAAATTCAACAAAAGCCAAACTGCGGTTTCTAGATTAAATTCCCTACGCTTTTCCTATTAGTTTATGTCACTTTACTTATTTACTCGTTCTATCTCTTACTTCACATGCTAAATTCTTATTTCACAATTATATAATCTATAAATGATGTCAGACTTCTTGCTATCCATGTATACTAAAGGATATCTTTCTTACGAAAAAATGTATTTGTTATCTTTCAGTTGTTGAAGGTAGCAAATTCTCTAAGCTCTCACCCATTTCTATTCAATTGATTCTCTCCAAAAGATCCAACTATTTGAGGGGTAGGTATACTACCTACCCTGGCATTGAAGTCTGCTGCCAATATTATATGGTCATTTTTATTGGCTTAAAGTGGTTAAAATATATTCCTAGTGGATTGGTAATTAATTGCCACATTTTTTAATTAAATAAAAAAAGCAGTGGCTGTGCCGACAGAAGGTTAAGTTTTCAAATCCCAACCAGGCAGAATTTTCGCATGATTGAAGAACTTTGAGTTCAGCTTTTAATTTTGCAAGTAAGGGGAATCAAAAGCAGGAGTGTTAACACATTCATTCCCTCTGGGGGCTCCATATGCATCGTATGTTGACTATATGGCTGATCAGGTAATTTGAGAGAAATATTGGAAATTGGCAGCTGTCAAGTCCTTTTTTGGGCCCTCCATCTTTATTGTAATGAACGAGAGAGAATCTGTGCACTTCTGTGAAAACATGGTGAATGACAATATGTACTTGCGAATGGAATGGTGTCGTATTTACAACCCCAAAATTTTAGGGCGCAGTGACGCATCACTATGCCTTTTGAATTTCATGAAGCTCTGGCCTTTGGCTTATGCAATGAACATAAAACATTTTTCAGTCTGTACAATGCATAATTTTCAAAGATAGGGCCCGAAAATTTTTGAAAACTTCATTTCTGATACTATTTTGAAACAAAAAATGGATTGTATATCTTATGTACTGAATTGGTTCTGATGTCACGAGTAAGTGAGAGTAGACTAAGAGTATGGGAATCAAGTACATCCTGTTTCGTAGTTCAAAGGAGAGTGTTGAGTTTTAACTAATTAAGTATTTTGGCGTTGGACAAGTACAAGTATGTCGTATGTACTCCCAGGCTGGAGCCCTGTCTTGAATTTTGGCACATGTAGCGAAACGTCTACTGTGCATTAAATGTTCAGTAAAATGTACTTTATTCTAAAAGGCGGGCAGATGAGATGTTTTTTGTTATTAGTGTACTCTGAAGCTTTGTCATGAAATTGGTCATGTATAGTGAAGTGTCAGCTTGACTTGAGATTTTGAGGTTATAAATAAGACACTATTCCATTCACTAAGTGGTTAAGTCATGGTCTCAAGGAAACAAATCGATTCCTGCATGTTCAATATGATAAGGGATAAGAGGCAACCTAACACAATATCCACAAAGTTGTTTCAGAACTTTGAGAGGGGACATTTTGTGCCCTCTTATTCCAATATAACCTTTATTTATAATGAAAAGGAAAAGTATTTCCGTAAAATTGAAAATAAATCATTTTGTGAAATTATATCTTCAGTTTTACTATGTAAATAAAAAATGTAATTATTAAATATACTACATTTATCATAATCCTCTTTATTGTTTCGTTTTACCTTCATTTTTAATTTTTCAGGTAACTTTGCAGACTGATGAAGTAAAAAATGTTCCATGTGGTACCTCAGGAGGTGTTATGATATATTTTGATCGCATAGAAGTAGTGAACATTTTAAGTGCT